CGGCTGTCCCCACGCTCCACCTGTTGCGCAGCCCTTAGCCACCCTGCCCCGCTCCCCAGCTACACTTCCACGCCTCCGGAAGTGACAGATTTTTTTTAATTAAAAACAAAACAAAAGTCACGGGTACAGGGTGGTCTCCCCAAACAGGTCAAGGTGGTCTCCATCTCGTGAGTCAGTTGTCGCCCTTTTTAAAGTGCTGGTTACATCAAGAGGTTACAACAAAATAGAGACAAAGCAAAACCCCAAAGGGACTGCAAAACGGGACAGGAAGTAGGTCCAGGAGAAGGAAGCAAAACAACATACAGCATAAATAAATAAGTTAAACTCAGTACTGAACCAAGAGACTCACAGTACATGTATATCCATTGCACATAGCCACTTTGTCATTAGGAACAAGTTTCAGAAGTGGACGGACCGGCGCGGGGCCAGCGCCAGCAAAGTTGCTACATTGTAATCACAACTGGGGGGTCCGAGGCTGTACAGAGGCGAAGAGTAGTCTCCCTCTTCCCTTTTTTACCCCCTCTGTCCAGTTAACCCCATGAGGTCCAATGCCCTGGAGTTCAACCGTGGGGCGAAATGGTATTTACACTTGGAAATGGAGCCGGGGCCCTGGGCTGGGGCTCCCGGGAGTGGGTGCCCAGAAGGAGGGCGGGCGGGAGGCTGTATTTACATCGGTCCGGTCCGAATGGCTTGTTCCTCGCTCTCGGCCGCCTCGGCCGCAGGTATTTACAGGAAGAGAGCAGCATGGCTTGAGGGCGCGTGGGCGCGGCGGGGCCGGCCCTAGGGCAACAGCGGGGGCTTGAAGGAGCAGTTGCCAGTGCAGTGGCGGGGAGTCAGCATCTTGCAGGAGAAGTGGTGCAGGGCGTCGTGGGCTTCTGGAGAGACAGTCGGGTAGACCACGTTGGGTGCCTCACCTGCCTGGCTTCCCGCGCACGGTCCGCCAGCCCCTCTCCTCTGCCCGCCTGGGTCTCCCCCACCCTCTTCCGGCTCAGGGGTTCTCAAGGGAGTGGGTCGGAAGATAGGAGGATAGAAAAGAGACCCGGGCGGTTCAAAACCACTGCTCTGGTGCAAAGGCCCCACTTTACAGAAGAGGAAACTGAGGCACAGAAAGAGGAAGGTCCATCTGCCCAAGGCAAGAGTTGGACCTGAGGGCAGATTTCCCAATGCCCAGAGCTCTGGGGGCTCTTTCTCCCCATCCCACCCGTTCTGAAATCATTTCCTCATTAAAAGCAAATCCTATTTTCCTCCTCTCAGCTTCTGATCCATGTAAACCTGGTCTTCCCTCACTCTAGCACCGTGGTTCCTTCGTTGGTTCCTTCGTTCGTTCATTCATTCATTCGATCACTCACTCATTCATTCATTCGATCGTTCATTCATTCTCCTGCACAGCCAGTGTCTGGCATCTCCCCACCCCCCATCTTTGTTCCTGGGCTTCCGCACCTTTTAACTTCTGCTGGATGGCATAGCGGGCCTTCCGCTCTTGGTCGAGTTCGTTACACAGAGTGTCTGGAAGACATGGGAGGGGCCGGGGAGGAAATGAGTCCACCCGACCACCGGCCCGGGGCCGGGGGGGTCAGAGCCCCAGCCTCACCCTCTTCTCAGCTCTCAGCCCCTTCGGAAAACAAGACTGGGAGCCGAGGGAGGAGGCATCAAGGCTCCAAACTGCAGCCTGACGGAGGGAGGAAATGGCCTGGGATGGTGCTTAGAGGCAGACGGATCTCACCAAAATTAAAGCGAACTTAGGCATTACTTCCCAGGTAATTTTACGCCTCGATTTTTAATTTAGAAACCATGGAAATTGCCGCGATAAGAAGTTCAATCACTCCATGTAATGATGCCTGCAAGCCGTTTGCTGGGCTCGCTTGCCATTCTGAGGCTAATCAGAGTATACAAAGGATATTAAATAAAAAAAATAATTGTTAAATTACCTTCAATTTAAATCCAAATGACTGAGCCAACATTGCGGCTCCTGCCAGACGAGAGGCAGTTATGGCCCGTGCACGCGCTCACCTGACTCCCGTCTTACCTCTGACAATTTGCAGCTGTTGCACCATTTCTTCTCGATAAGCCAATTCCCTCTTCATTTGATCCTGAAAATTATCTGTGCAAATTGATTAAGTGAGAGCTGTTAAGCACAGCCCCCCCTCCCTCGGCCCCATTTCCCCCGCTCCCCATCCCCCACCCCCAGTCTTTGGTCTAGTGGGAAACCCCGAAAAAGGAGGGCTCCCGGTGTCCGTAGGGCGCAGGGCAGCGGCTGGCACTGGGGTCCTGGAGCCAGGCTCGGGAGGGAAGAAGGTTCTGGCCGTGAAGTGGGGTGGGGTGGGTCAGGATGGGGGTACCTTTGAGACTCTGAAATTCTCGCTCCAGCTTCTTGCGGAGCTCCATTTGCTCCAGGAGCAGTTTTTGCAGCTCGTCTGTGAACGGGCGAGAGTGGGAGGTAAAGGAGAGGGTGTGCAGGACTCAGGAGGCCGAGAGGCACACAGGTCCTGCCAAGGTCAGTAGCCCTGAGATGGGCGTTGGGGCGGGAGGAAGAGGCCCTCAGCACCCAGTTTACCCATTTACTTCCAAAGGATTTGGGTTAGGAAAAAGGGGTGGGAAGTAAATTGCCCAGGAGAATCAAATCAGGATGGTAGACGGCACTTTCCACTTCCAAGTCCTGGCTCGAGGCACCAAGCAGAGTGGCCCTGCTTCAGCTTGTTCCCAGCTCCCTAATCTTGGAGGCTAGTGCAGGAGGACTCAATTTACCCCTTCAAAAGTGAGACCTAATCTTTCCCTTCAGTCATACGGGCCAGGGAGAATCTGGTCAAAGTCTTGGACCCCAGCCCTGGAAAAATACACATACTTACAACAGTTTGTTTACAACTTTATATGAATGCTATCAGCACAGCCCCAAATCCATGCTAAAAACACTCACATAAAGCATATCCTGCAAAATCTGTAGCTACACAGAGTCAAAGACCACAGATGCTTTTCTCTCTCCCCACAACAGTTTCCAAGCTCATCCCTGGGCGAGTTTGGGGAGAGGGCAGCAGGCAGAGGTGGGAAACCCTGCTAGTGACCTCAGAAACCAGCTCCAGAGAAACGGCAGGGGGCTGCCTTGACCATGGAGCTCTTGGCATCTGGGTCCTCCCCCTGGGGAGGCTCTCTGGGAAATCCTTCCTGAGCAGGTGCTCAAAAACACAAGAAGGGGAGAGAGAGGAGCAAAGTGGGGTCAGAGGCTCCCCTCTGTGCCTGAAGTCACACACTCTCCCTGGCAGGCTGAGCAACACCCCAAGGACCCTATTCTGCAAATGAGCTGCATCCCCACCCCATTTAGGGTGGGGTGAGTGGTTTTACATTAATTCCAGGGAAAAAGTTAACCCCTTGAACATTCTTAAAGTAGATGCCTCCTAAGAATCTTGCTGTTCAGAAAGTCACGTCTTCCAGTGAGTCTGGGAGACCCAGCATGTCCTGATTGCCCACAGGCACCAAGTTCCTAGGATCTTTACTCGCTTCTCTTTCTCACTGGGCTGTTTAGACAGACCTGGCCTTGGGAATGCACACTTCCAGTCAGCCTCTGGGGTCTGGCTTCCCCTAGCCACCCCCTCTCACACCCACACCTCTGCCCCAGGACAATGTGCCTGGTCATTCTTTCCCCTTCGTGAAGACCGACTGCCCAAGAGCCCTGTCTTCTCACAAACTCCAACAGGAATGACACCCTACAAGAGGGCCCCCCAGAGTAGCCCATTTCACAGATTTAACCTCACCCTCTACAAGAAGGGCCCCCCCCAGAGTAGCCCATTTCACAGGTTTAAGCTCATCCTCTATAAGAAGGGCAATCTCCCCCCCCCCCACCAGAGTAGCCCCATCTCAGGTTTAACCTCACCTCTGGCCAGGTTCTCGATATCTTTCTCCACTAGCTGCGTTGCAGTGACCTCCAGGGTGAGCCCATCTTCGCCTGGGATAGGACAGGTGAGAGGGGTTCTGTCTGGGAGAGGCCTTGGGAGGGGAGGGGTGAGCTTCCTGGGAACTGTGCTAAGTCAGGGACCTACTCCGGATTTGGTGCCATTAGAGGAGACAGTTACAGGCCAGTACTACCCACACTCCAAGCCAACATTTTAGGGATGTAGCCATCATTTTAGAGAGTGGCCGTTGGAGGAGACCCAGGGAAGGGAGGCTATCTTAGAGCAGGGAGTGCCCTCTGGCCTGTTTTATGTGGGTGATGGTGTTCCTAATTCCTTCTGAAACGCTCTCTTACCCGGAAGAGCTCAAACCCACCAAGGAGGTAAGCGACTCAGGAGAGTGGCCTGCACCTGCCTGCGCTGTTTATTTATCTGCCAGCCGCAGAAGGGGCCCACAGCCGCCTACTCTTGGTGAAAGCTTTCCTCACAAGCCAAAGCCGGGGGGACTCTGGGCGACTTGGGTCCCAACTCCCGACTCGGCGTGCTGCCCGAGGATCCTAGGGCTCACCTCGGTCTGTGTTTGCAGGACTTGGCTGGGAGATACTCCTTTGGTCTGGATAGGATTTCCTCGTTTCCAAATCGTCGGCGGTCGAGTGATTGTCTTCCTTATCTGGCTCTTAAAGGCAATAAACCGAGTTTCAAGGAGAGGCAAAGAAACCGTGACCCCAATACAGCCAGAGCTGCTGCAGTCCGGGCGCCCGAGCCCTAATTAAAAGCTTCGCGGCCGCCGCTGCTCCATGCTGTGAGCCTGGGCTCGCGCCCTCAGGCTTTGGGCCGGGCACCCCCCCGCCCCCCACCGCGCGGTCTGCTCTTCTCGGTCTCCACGCCTCCTCCCTAGCCCCTCGAAAAAGAGCAATACAGCAACCGAGCCCACCTGGGACAAGCGACCTACATCGAGCGCAGATACTGGGGCACCGCGAGCGCGCGTGGCCGCCGGGTCTGCCTGGGCCG